GTATGCAATTATCTTTTTTAAATTATAGTATGTTATAGAAATGTTTGTTTTATTCTATAAATTAAAAAAAATAAAATTTTTAAAAAGAGAGAGAATACCCACTCAGATAATAGATTTAGAACTAGAAGACACTTTATGGACCACCTTGTCCAGCCTACCACTCAAAAGCAGGAATGGGATTTGAACCCAGGGCCTTTTGACTCAAAATTCAATTCCTTTTCCACTATGGCACATTGTAATTCATTATTCACACCACCACTATAGGCTGATTTGTTTGTGTTATTTCCTTTGGAGTTGAGATTCACTTGCAGCCTGGGTGAGATGAAGCAATTATGATATTGATAGTGAGCAAGGGGATGGACATGATAGTTGTGTCTTTATTTTCCCAAAGCCATGGGTTAGTTTAGTAGTGTGTATATAGGCTTCTATTGTCAAGGTGGTCAAATGTCACTTTGAAATAGTTCTCATTGCACAGTAATATAAATTTTAGACCTACAAGAGACCTCAGAAGATATTCTACTTTGACCATCCCATTTTACAGGAGAGGAAATTGAAGCACAGATTAGCGAAATGTTTTGTCCAAGGTCATACAACTAATCACTGGCAAAGATACAAATGAAACCCATGTTTTTTCACTCCTAATCTTTTGCTCCATCTAACTAGCTAGCAGTAGCCAATCTCTAGCCAAACTGTGAAGCATAATACAATTTCCTCTCAAAAATTTTTAGCCATGAGTTTCCAGTGCTCCTCTATCAAGAGAATGTAATTACACATTATCAATAAATTATAACTCCTATGAAAGGTTAGATTGGTCCAATGGTTCTTTGGTGCACCTGGACTCCATTGCTATAGAAAATGATGCTTGAAATCAGGTATAATTAGCACGATTCATGAGAGAGAAAACTGCAGCTAGAGTCGTTTGTAATATGAGACCCTCATATTTCCAAGGATGAAGTTCAGAGATAACTAAAACTAAGCATTAGACTCAAAAGACCAAGCTGTCCATTTAAAGACCTATGTCTATTTTTAACCAAGAATCTAGGCTAAAGCAAAGACAGATTCAGAATTATTGGTCAAAGCAAGTGGCCATTTATCCTTTGATACCTTTTCACGTTAACATGCAGAACATCTGGACCACTTTATTTAATGTCAAGTTAAAACCAGAGACTTTCTTGGTACTCAGTTTTGTGCGCGTGTGCACGTGTTTGTGTGTGTGTGTGACTACAGATGAAGTTTCTTTTTAGTTTGACAATAGGCACATCCACAGTCCTTGTGCAGTTGTGGTACCATGGAAACAGGATTAGATCTGCAGCCAGAGGATCTTGGTAGTAATCCTCATTCTGCCACTTATTAACTGTGTGACCCTAGACAAGTTCCTTAACCTCTCTGAGGTTCACACTGTTTTGTCATCTGCAAATACTTGTGAAAAAAGTGCCTTGGAAACCTGTAAGAACTACAAAATGCGTTGTTAGAAGCTTACATAAAAAAATGGAATAAGGGGATCCAGTTCAGCTGTTGTGTTCACTTCTGGGCACATTTTGAGAGGGATACTGATGAGCTGGATATTCCCAGAGAACACTCAGGAAGTGAAGAGACTGGAAACCCTATCATGCCAGAGTTGAAAGAATGTGGGATGCTAGACCTAGAGAAAAGGTCTTCTCCTTCCTGAAGAAGTGATAACTAATTGACTATTTGAAGGGCTGTCATGGGAAAGGAGGATTATATGTGTTCTGTGTGATTTCAGTGGACAGCACTAGGCCCTGCTGTAAGAAGTTATAGGGAATCACATTTTTGTCTCACCATAAGGAAGAACCTCCTAAAAATTAATTCATTGTTGTTTAGTCTTTTCAGTTGTGTCCATCTCTTCATAATCTCCTCTGAGGTTTTCTTGGCAAAGAGTGGTTTTTCCATTTCCTTCTCCAGCTCATTTTACAGATGAGGAAACTGAGGCAAATAGGGGTAAGTGACTTAGCCAGGGTCACATAGCTAGTACATGCCTGAGGCCAGATTGGCACTCAGGAAGAGGAGTCTTCCTGACTCCAAGCCCAACACTCTATCCACTGAGCCACCTAGCTGCACCTGACACATAATAAATGTTTGCCGACTCCCAACATCTTCCCATTCTTTCTAAGTTTTAATTTCCTCAAAAGGTAACAATATTGAATTTTGAACATTATGTAGACTACAGGGCCAAACAAGTAAGGTCAGGCGCCAAAGATTGATTTATTGCTACAATTGTAAGGCTTGAGACAAATTCTCAATTTTGGAAGTTTCAGTATCCTATTATTTTACATTTTTAAACACCAGGTGCTTTCACTGTTCTCTTCCAAAGTGCTGTATACTATATTTTGGGGATTTTGTTTAGGGTTTGGTTAAACAGCAACAATTCTTACCAGTTGGTTGAAAAGGTGCCATTTCCAAGTGATAATTGTTTCCATGTGGCTACCTAGGTGAGCAGGCTGACACCCACATCAAAAGAGGATTATAGTGAGATAAAATTAATTTGAAAGGCTTGTGACAATCAGAATCATAGGGATGGAAGGTACCTTAGAGGGCAACTGGTATAACCCATATATGAAAAAAATACCATCTATTATATGTAACACAAATGATCATCCAATCTTTTATCTCCCCAAAGCTCATTCTACTTTTGGATAGTTACAATTATTAGGAAGTTTTTCCACTTCTCAAGCCTAAATTGACCCCTTTAGAATTTCTACTCATTATCCTTAGTTTTGTCTCCAAAGACAAAAAGAACATGTCTACTCTCTTTTCCATGAGGCAGTCCTTCACGTGTTTAAAAAGAGCTATCAATTTCCTCCAAGCCTTCTCAAAGCTAAACATTCAAATTCCTTCAACTGATCCCCATAGATGTTTACTCAAGGCCCTTCTCCATCCTCTGGACATAATCCAGACACACAATCTTCTTAAATGTGATACTAAAGACCGATTACAATACTTTTGATGTGTTCCAGTAAGGGCACAGTATAATGGCACTATGCCATCCCTATTCCAAGATACCATGTCACTGTTAACACAGCCTCAGTCTACATTATCTTTTTTTGGCTTGTCATATAGCATTAATGTATTACACTAAGCTTGCAACCTGCAAAGTCCTCAGGTCTTTTTTTTTTTTCAGATAAACTTCAGATTAGCTGTACCTTCCCAGTCTTATACTCAAAAAAGTTGACTTTTTGAGCCCAAGTATATTATTTTGCATTTATCCTTATTAATAGCAATAGTTGGCATTTATATAGTACTTCAAGGTTGGCAAAGCACTTCACATACATTATCTCATTTGATCCTATTAATCATATTAATTAATTTAGCCAGTCAAGATCTTTTTGAAACCTTCATCATCCAGTGTGTAATCTAAACTTATTGGGTCTGTGTCATTTGGCAATTTGATAAATCATGCCATTAATTAGAATGTTAAACAGCATGAGGCCAACCACAGGTCCTGGTGTACAGTGTTACTAAAAAGAGAGTCCCTGTATATAGACTAAGAATTGATAGTACTAGCATACATATGAAGAAATATATTTGTCATAGGCCACCTGTACAGGGTCAAAGACCTCCTTCATTTAGAAAATCATAAGCTAAAAAAATGCACTGCACACAGTACACTTTAAAAATGTTTCCTGCTTGTCTCCTCTTTTATAAAGAAGCAAGGAAATCAGAGCTACTTTAAAAAGCACCCCATACCTCATTCAGATCATACTCAGACCTTTAAACTAGAATTAACATGGAATTATCTGAATAAAATCTGCTAGGAAAAGGATTAGCAAATGAATACTTTATTAGAGATTCATAACACTTAAAAAAGAAGTCTTATTTCATTATAGAATTACCAGGACTTTAAAATCATCCAAACATTCTTTTTTTTTTTTTAAAGTTTTAAGACGCACAATAAAGTTTTTAAATGCCTTAATTTTTGTTCAAGTGTTTATCATTCATTTCACAAATCTAGTATGCATTTAATACACAGAGATAAGTATTCACAGTAAAGATAAGTGTTTAAACTTTACTCTTAGCAATTTAAAAGCAATTCATTACAAAAGCACCTCCATAACACTTTATTTTGAGGAAACTGTTTGATTTAATGTCACCAAGCACAGAACTCAGATGTCTTACTGGGAGAGAAGAGGAGACAGCAGAGCCAATGTAGCCCACTTACTTCAATACAATTCTACCTAAAAGAGACTATCTCCTTATGGCACAGTGTATAACTCTGTAATACACAAGTCATAATACAAATGTGAATAAGTGGTATACAAGTAGGAATGGCAGATTTTCAAAGAAAAGAGGAAGCTTCAGAAAAGACACATGTCCGTGTTATATATAAGGAAAGAGGACAAATTTCCATAAGTCATACACACAAATGAGTCACACTATAGTCATACCTCATATGTTTCACATCAAACAGACTACAATTTACATGTTGCATATATATGTATATTATATATATATATATATATATATATATATATATATATATATGGCATTAGGAGAAATATAACTTGCCCTCTGATCAGCAACTACCCCCAAGCTGCCATTTTTTATGGCTAACCTATGGTTTATGAGGTGGGTTGGCTATCTTGGCTTAGTATTTATACTCTAAAAAAAATCTAACATATGTGGCTGTACCATTTGGGATGGGATTAGTAAACACACAAAGGGATAAGGGGCATGTTTTATTCTAAAGGAATTTCTTTCAAGATAGGCTGGAAACACTTTGTTGAGCTAACATGGAGAGGGCTGTCATATAACTCCCACAGTGTTACCATTCATGCCTTTGGTTCAAACATTTTGGCACCTTTCCAAAAATAATAAAGATACATTGCAATCAATATCTGCATTACTCAACCAACAGAGGCTATATAAATATATATATATATATATATATATACACACACACATATGTGTATACACAATATATAGAACACATACATACATATCTGTGCATATATCCATGTGTATATATACACACATATATACACAGTGCATATATTAATATATGCATATACACTAGTGTATATATTAATAAACACATACACACATTACTTAAAAAAACTAGCTTCTGCACAACTATCATCATTTCTAGGGCGACATTAAAGCATTAAGATTTTATAGATAGAGTTGTTTTTTAAAAAATACATCCAAATTCAGCTTCAGAAAAATAAAAAAAACTATTCAGAATAAAAGTAAACAATTTTGAAAAATACCACATTCATGCATATATTTATATAATACACTGAAACATATCTTGAGACATAAATAAATCTAAAAGAAAAAAACTAAAAGAGCTAGATATCAGTTCCAGTGTTCATCAGTGGACGTGAGGGCCTCACTGTAGGTAGCGGCAAGAAGAAAGGCAATTCCTTTGAGAGAGAACTATGGTTCATTTCATCTACAAACTTGTCAAGTAACCAAATAGTATCCTAAGTGGCTAGGAAGAATCGCGTCTCCAACAGGAAAACAAGTCTCCCTAACACTCAGGAAATATGAAGATAAAGTAATGAGACTGAGTTCTACATATGGCTTGGAGTATCAGACTTTTTTTGAGGCATACCTCTTATGTTCAGGTTTTATAAAATCTCACATACATGGCATTTTATATATGAGAGTGAGACAAATAATCGATATCTGTTTAGTTTAAAGCATAATTTGTATGGAGACTTAAAAGGTAGAAATAAGGTCAAGAGGGTTCCAGTGACCATATATTTAAGAGACACCACTTAATAGCTAATGATACTCATAATAATAGCTAGCATTTACATAGTGCTTTAAGGTTTACAAAGCATTTCAAATACAAGATCTCATTTGATCCTCACTGCAACCTTATGAGACAGGAACTACAAATATTATCTCCATTTTAGAAAAGAGGCAGCTGAGGGTCCAAGCAGTTAAGCTAGTAAATATTGGAAGTGGGATTCTGAACCCAAGTCTTTTCAAGCTGCCTCTATCCATTAATTATTAATTTTAAGGTGCAGGTTTCTAAGAGTAAAAAGCCAAACTTAGCTGTGAGGAAAGGCCCTTCATCTGTTAAAATAATTTTAAAAAATAAATTCCAGCTAGGATGTGGATGAAAATTTTTTCCATAGAGTATCTCCATATACAAAAAGATTTTGGGAATGTATCACAGCTAAAACAATAGGGTACCAAAATTGGTCTCACACATACAACTACACAAACTAAACCAAACATGGAGAGCTAATTGATCTGGAGTGTTATGGTCGCCATCTTCGTAAAGCCAGGGCCAGACTGAAACCGTAACAAGCTGTTGTCATGAAGGCAAAAATCTAAGAAGGAAAATTAATACATTAGAATGGACACTGGCTTATAAAATGCAGAAACAATTTCATCACATAATATAAACTCCGAGGTCACCTCCCCCCCACTCAATAGTTTTATATTTTCCTCAGAGAATTATTGCTGTTATTCAAAACTAGTAGCATTACCTTGACCAATCACTTCCAATCAATTCTGTTTGTGTATTTTTATGCTGAGTGATATTTATGTTTTGTTTCTCCTACCTAATGTAAGCTTTTTAAGGACTAACACTATGTGTACTTCTCAACATATAAATACCATAGGCAATTATGCCAGAAATGCTTTATTGTGATGCTCTTTTTTTAATTAAATTAATTTTTTTTCAATGATCAAGTATTTATTTTTCTCCCTTCTACTCCCTTACCCACTGGGAAAAAACTCCAAAACCTTGTAACAAATATGCATAGTCAAGGGAAAAAAAATCCTATATTAGCTACATCTAAAAATGTGTCTCATTATGCATATTGATTCATCACATCTTAGTCAGGAAGTGAGTAACATTCTTCATCCTAAGTCCTCTGTTATGCTCTTAAATTTCTAATAAGCTAGTTGACTTACCTGAACAGACCACTTTAAAACATTTTTCAAATACATTTTACAATCAAGCTGATTCTTTCTGAGTCCAATTACAATAGTTTTGACTTTCTGAAGCACCACTCTGCCAACCTTCATTACCTTCCTACTAAAATTCTCATTTTAAATAATTTTCACATTTGTGAATGGTCGTTTGGTAAACATTTGGTCATCCTTTGGGCTCCTGAATATTTGTCCCATCCCCCCCAAAACAAAAACAAAACTGAACACGCAGCCAATGTATTGAAAGACTCCCTATGAGTTGACTTTCAATGTACCTATTTATCTGTCAATGGCCAAGGTGGAGAGCAGCTGTAAGAACTCTGGTGCATACCAAATTATTTCTCTTAAAAAGGGGTAAACTGTTCTAGGACTGAACAAAGGCAGCCCACATAAATGAGTCATTGAGTAATCTCTAGCCTAAATTTGTGTGGGAATGCCATACATATATGCTGGGTCCTACAGAATACTAAGTATTCAACTTGATACTCTAAAGTGCTTATGTATGACCTACATTACGTAAGTACTTGGCACCAAACTAGGTATTGAGGTGAATGCAAAGGAATAAAATACATGGCCCCTATCTCTAAGTAGCTACAGTTATGTTACATAAAATGGGTTTTTAAAACATTCATTATGTAGCTACTCATGCAAAATACTTTCCTACTGGGCAGTGAAATGACCAATTTGAAGAAGACAGTTCTTGCCTCCAAGGAGCTGACAATCCACTTAGGGAAGGGAAAGGGCATGATGAGTTTGCACCAAGCATAACATTAAGTAAAATATGATGGGGGGAAAGGAGAGATCTAGACAAGGAGTTCTGTGAAGGACATGGGATCTAAGCTGAAATTTGAAAGAAGAGAAAGATTACAACTGGCAAACATGAGGACAAATACAATGTAGGTAAATGAACAGAGGTGGGAGAGTATAGGATGATATTGGGTAACAGCCAATAGAAGTTTATTTGTTCTCAAAGGGTAATATGAAATAAGATTGGAAAAGTAAATTGAAGCCAGACTGTGGAGGACCTTCAATTTTAGCCTCCAGGCTAAAAAGTTTGTATTTTATCCTGTAGGCAAAAGGGACACACTGAGGGTTTTGTCCAAGGGTGTGACATAACAATAACTAGACAACAATCTAGCTGATTATTTCTGACTTTTAGAAGTACCATTCTGCCAACAAATTTAAACACACTTATCTCATTAAAACTTTTCTAAGCATCTCACATATCATTATTTCATTTAAGGCAATCCATAGCATGGTTAGACTTGTGTCTTAGATTATTGAAGCTACTATGCAAAGTATAGATTAGATAGGAGAGAATGGAAGCAGGGAAACCATTCACATAGCTAGCTCAAATGTTGACTGAAAAAATTACACTGGTTGAGAAAACCTTGGTGATATCAGAATGTATGCCCTGCCTCCTATCTCTTTAATATCCTGATTAAAGACATTTTATTGGTTACTGAACACAAAAATTTTTGCCTACCTTAGTAAAATGAAGAGCAATCTAATGTAATCCAAGTGGATAAAAATCTATGATCAAGGGTCCTCAATTTCTTTTTCATTATCTCTTTCTCTCTCCTGGCTTCTTTCCCTCTGCCTACTAATGCATTCAGGTCAACCCAATTCTTGGAAAACCTTCCCTAGTCCCTTCCACATCTCTAGACTGTCAAGTTCCTTCCTTCTAGATACTTAGAAAGGGAATAATCTATACTTTTCTTGACATTCACAATGCTTAGTCTTCAATACACCACAATCTAGTTTCTGTTCCCACTACTCTACTAAAGTTACTCTCTCCAAGGTTACTGTCATCTTCATCTTCATTATCATCATCATCATCATCTTCATCATCATCGCTAACAGTTACGTAATGCTTTAGTGTTTGCAAAGTGCTTTCCATGTTATTTAATTTGATCAATTGCCTCCTAGTTGATAAATCCCATGAGTATTTTCCCCAGTCTTCACCTTTTCCTGGACCTTTCTATACCATTTGGCACTATGTTCCACCTCTCCTTCCTCAGTTTCCATGCCTTTCTAATTGCTCCTTCTGAGTCTTCTCTTAGGTATGTGAATCCCATGTCCTTCACCTTCTTTTCTAATTTCTCTATCCTCTCACCACTGGTGAGCTCATCTACTCCCTTAGCTTTAATACTATCACTCTAAAAATAACTCCTAAATTTCTGTGTTCAGCCCCAATCTTATCCCTAAGACTCCAGGCCTGTATTTCTAAAGAGTTCCTAGACATTTCTTCCTGGATGTTTAACTCCTGAAACTCAACTCAGCCCCTAAACTGAACTGACCAATTTCCCTACAATACCTACCCCTCCTAGATTCATTCTATTGGTTGGCACTGCCATCCTTCCAGTGACTCAGGCTTGGAACTTAATTCATCTTTCGCTTATTCTTCTTTCTTGCTGCCCACATCCAATCCTTTGCAATTTCTCACTTCCATCCTCTAACAACCTAGCTTAGGCCTTCATCTGCTCTTCACATAGATTATATTATTAATAGTTTCCAAACTGGACTTCCTGTTTTCAGCCTTTTATCCATCACACTGCTTCCCAACCTTTGTAACCCAAACACTCTCTGCATTCTGGAAAAATTGGGCTACTACTAGCTGTTCTCTGATCTCTTTCTGTCCTGGATGCATTCATGCAGCTCATCCATCCTCTGTTTCAGAAAATGGAGAAAATTCCTTTCTCCAGGAAGCATTCCTTGATTTCCTTGTACTAGAAGTGATACTTTTTACTCATCTTTCATTTATCTGCTACTCTATTTGCACCACCCTACACATAGTAGGTAGGCTATATCCATTGAATTTTAAGTCATATTAGCTTTCATTGTGTACTTGTCCCATCCTTCTATTAAACCATAAATTCTTTGAGAATGGGAATGTTATTTTTAATGCCTTTCACAATGCAGGTCCTATGTAAATTTTTCCTGAAATGAAGACTACTGAAATCTAGAGTCTCTCTGATGTATTTTTGTGTCTAATCATGGCATTTTGTGAATGACTTTGAAGAAAACTTTCCTTGTTCCATTCTGAGAGAAAAAGTTTCTGCCATTTGAAAAATAACTTTAGAGAAGACCAAGACATCCAAATGCTGCCAATTTTGACATGTTCCACAGAAAATATTGCCCTTTATTGTTTTGTATATGATTACTGGTACATAGTAATTAAATCATAATTTAACATTATTTCTAATGATCATGTGCCCTCCCCTTCTACTTGGGAAAACCCTTTTTTCTTCCTTACCTGTTTCTCATCCCCAACTAATTGCTGGAAAATGGCATCTAGTCAATTAGAAAATTTATGTTGGGCAGATACATGGTAAGTGTGTCTGGAAAGCCAAACTACAGAACCCAATTTCTTATCTACTCTCTTTTTTTAAAGCTTTTATATCTCCAATTTTGGCTGTCCAGGAATGAATCTCTTTCATGATATTTTCCCCATAGAATAACTTCTTGTTCTATATTCATCAATATTGCATTCATGGGGCCCAATTAATGTATATGTGTGTGAAGAGAGAGAGGGAGGGAGGGGGAGGGGGAAGGAGAGAGAGAGAGAGAGAGAGAGAGAGAGAGAGAGAGAGAGAGAGAGAGAGAGAGAGATGAACAAGTGACAAAGAGGGAAAGAACTGAGAGGCAGAGACAGATTAGCTAAATGTATATAAAATAGATGGTGTTGAAAATGAATAAACTTCTAAAATGCCCCTTGACAAGATGATTTAGAAACAAAATTCTTGAATATTACCTACAACTCTAACATGCTCCTCAAATCATGCTGAAAGAAAACTAATTCTGAAACAAATCCCATGAGATGACAGAAAATATCCTCTTACCTGAGAAATAAAAGCAAAATTGATTTTTCCCCATGTTGTTTAAATTAGGGAATATCAAGGTCCTAAGAGTTGGGGGTGGGGCACGGCTAAAGAGGAAATAAATAGGGACATTGGCACTTACCGTAGCTGCTACATTTATATTATACTGGCTGTCATTCAAAAGTGGCTGTATATTTGTGGTCACATTACAGTGTAAGCTGTGCAGGGAAGTAGCTGCTGCTTCCAACAGAAAAGCTCCAAAGTAGAAAACGAACATAACAAAATGATAACCAAAATCCTAAATGGAAGAGGAAAAGATTTTTTAAAAAAAGTTTGCATTAGGCATACTTTTCTCTTCTCTGGCATCATCCATCCATTTCCAGAATGACTTTCCTGGGTATTGAGCTGAGCCTGGGCTCTCTAGGACAGCAGTAGGTCCTGTCAAGCTGGGAAGTCTTTGCATATGGTTGTTGTGAAGTGTCTGTTGCCCAGTGCCCTGCTTAGTTAAGGTTGGACAGGCTAATTATGAAATTAGCCATATGGCAATGACACCACATCTTTCAAGGCACCTAAGTTATACAGGAATTAGGCTCTATGTTAGTGGATGGAGCACTCAGACTGACAAAATTACATTTCCTTTAAATATTCATGTACTCACTTTCAGATGGGGCACCGTGTTATAGTGGAAAGGCCACTGGACCTGGACCTGGACCTGGACGAGTCCTACTTTAGACACTTACTAGCTAGCATTTATATAGTGTTTTCAAGTCTGCAAAGTGCTCAACATATGTTAACTCATTTGAGTCTCACAACAATCCTATCAAGTAGGTGATATTATTATCCCCATTTTACTGATGAGGAAACTGAGATATAGACAAGGTAAGAAATTTGCCCAGGGTCATACAACTATTAAGTATCTGAGGCAGAGTTTGATTCCAAGTCCCATTATTTATCTACTGTGCCATCTAGCTTGCAAAATTCTCAGAGAGTGGGGTGGAGGAATCACTTAACCCCTCTGTGCCTTATTTCCTCATTCATAAAATGGAATGGCATTCTATGGACTCTAGGGCTTTTTCCAGCTCTAAATCTACAAATCTATGATACGTAATATGTTGAAGCTGAGATTTAAGAAGAACATGGTGTTTAGCTATATAAACTTAATTTTGTAATTTACTTGCAATAAAACAGCAATGCTTAGACTTTATCAAATAAAAGGTCTCTAATTTATCATGAGGCAGAATGGATTTTTGAGAAGTGCACTTGTCTTGAAGTTTGGAAGACCTGGATTGGAATTTTAACCCTTTTTCTTATTTATATGACCATATGCACAAATGTCAAAAGTAAGAAATTCTTCTTAATTCAAATCAGTATTGTGTGTGTATTCATGCTGACATGTATGTACATATGAATGTATTTTACATATATATGCATATATATGTATTTTACCCCTCATAACCATTTTATTATAAGAACTCTGGCAATTTCAGAGTGCTAATTAAGTCAGGGATTTCATTAGAATATTGTTATAGGGGAGAATAGGATATGTATTTACTTATATATGTTCATGTTTCCCACCTATAAAATACACATATTCTGTATAGAATATAGAACATTCATATACTCTTTGAGGACAGGGACCATTTTCATTTTTGTCTTTGTATTCTTAGTACCTGATAGTAAGCACTTAAGAAATACTTTTTATTTCAAATCAATTCTTCCACAGTGAAGTGGAATTTAGAATCATAGGATATTAATCTAATTCTGGTGCCATTAGCTATATGACCATTGTAAATAACTATAACATCTTCTAATCCCAGCTCCATAAAGTGTATGACCAAAGAAAGTCACTATAACACTCTCTTAGCCACAGGGTTGTTTTATTTTTCTTTTCATCTGCAAAGTGAGGGGCTTAGACTAAGTTATCTTTAAAGTCCTTTTGGTTTTAAATATGATCTTCTGAGATACTTAATTATTTTAGCAATTTTCATATATTCCTGGGATAATCTTTAGTATAAACCCAACAACAGTTTTTCTTTTCTGGACCAGATACCACCTAAGGTTTTTTTTCCCCCTCTTTTATGATTCTAGTAAAATGGTTTCTCAACAGAGCCAGTCCAAGAAATAAGTGATGTGTGCTCCTGAATGGAAAGTTTCAGATCATGGCCACCAAGATAGTTGTCACCTTTGAAATTCACTTTCCATATCTACATTTCTTATACTTGGTATCCTACTCCTTTCCCTTGCTATGGGGAGGTACATATGTGAGTGGGGACAATTCCTGGTGGTTCTCGCTCTTGGTTTTCCCTTCCATTACCCTTTTTCTTCTTAAAAGAAGTGGAGAGTTCAGAAGGAAGTCTGTTAACATCAAATAAAAACTTTGTCCAGAGTGCAGGTTTGTGTAAGGCTAGCTAGTTTATTATTTTGAAGCAACAATTTCACCCTGAATGTCAGAAAGACTTTCAAACACTAAATATCTACTTAATTGGACATACCATAATATGAAAAATGCTTTAATTAAATCCACTTAGTTATTACACTTTGAGGTTAAAATAAGTCTTTTTGGACAAGCATTTTCCTTAGAAATTATTCTCATTCTAAAATTTTTCCTTAACCAGGAGAATTACACACAAATATACACACATACTACATCCATCATCCATTTATCAAAATTAGGTAAGTCAAAGTCATTCCCCACCCTTCAATTATAATTCGAAACACAAATCCAACAAAAACATTCATTTCCTACACTTAAGATAGACAATTATTTAAGTATGTAATTTATCTAGTCTTTAAAAAAAACTGTTAGGGGCTGCTAGATGGCGCAGTGGATAGAGCACTGGCCCTGGAGTCAGCAGAACTTGAGTTCAAATCCGGCCTCAAGACACATGATACTCACTTACTAGCTATGTAACCCTGGGCAAGTCACTTAACCCCAGTTGCCTAGCCAAAAAATAAAAAAATAAAAATTTATGTCTAAAAAAAACCCATTTATTTGAATTGCTGACTACGAAGAGAACTGTGCTAAGCACTGGGACAGATACAATGATTAAAAAGACTGTTCTCCATTTTTATGGGACTCATAATTCAGTAATCATTCTATTTTTCAACTCTCACAATAATAATTGTGCCATTTTTCAGATGACTGGTAGAGGAAAATACCACTGAAGTAATGTATCAGGTACCTTAAAAAAAACCTCACAAGCAAACAAAAAGGATGAAAATGTGAATTCAACTCCATATTGAAAAGGAAAACTAATCTACTGTTTAGGTTTTCAAAAATTGTAATTTTAGTAGACTTTTTAAGAAAACAAAATTTAGGGTGCCCTTCAAATATGCAAACATGTTGAGAATCATAGAATTTCAGAGATGGCAGAGACCTCAGCAGCTACCAAGTGTAATCTATACCTCAAATAAATCTCTGCTATGGCACTCTTACTAAGTAGGCATCTGTCCCAATGTGAAGACCTCAAGTGAGGGAAAAACAGACCCCTTCTGTAGGTAATCTAGTCTGCTTTTGGACAACCGTGTTTATTAGGAAGTTTTGTATTAGCATCAAGTCTAAATTTACTTCTTTATGGCTTCTACCCATTGCTCTGAGTTCTGCCCTCTAACAGAACCTATACAGAACAGTCTAATCTCTCTTACACATGATATCTCTTCGAAATACCTAAAGACAGCTGCCTTCATCTCCCTCCCTTGCATTTTCTCAATGCTAAACACCCCTACTTCCTTTAACAAATAGATATTCATATGACTTGGGCCTAAGATCCTTTACCATCCTGGTTGCTCTCCTTTAGACCAGGAATTCTTACTGCAGGGCACATGGATTTTTTTTTAAAATGATAATTATATTTCAATGTTAATATTTTAATTGTAGTCCTATGCATTTTATTTTATGCTCTTAAAATCCTAATTCTGAGGAGTCCATAGGCTTCATCAGACAGCCAAAGGGAGCCACTGAACGAACACACACACACACACACTCACACACGCACACAAGAGTCTTTGCTCTAGACTCTTATGGGGCCATCACAGCAGAAAGGAGTTTTTTGCCTACCACACGTAGGATGAAGCAATTAAAAGTGATAACAATCTCACAGCTACTCCACAGAACTTGTGGAACAATAGGAATCTACCTAGTACAAGGTGTCCATCAATGTATTATATCAAAAGGCAGGCCATTTGAACAGAGGCTACTTTCAAAGATACTCTGAATAAGCTAAGAATCACAAAGTAAATGAAAGAAAAATCATCTAAGTGGGGCAGACGTTCAATAAACTCCTCAACAATTTCAAAATCAGGGATCAACTTATGGTATTTATGCCAAGCATTACAAAACAGGGTTGTGGGTATCTATTAAGTCATAAGTTTGAAGACTATTGTAGCAAAATGGATCATAAAAGGTCACCTGGTCTAATTCCCTTATTTTGGAATTGAAGAAACTGAGGCCCAGAAAAGGGAATAAGTTATATTGTTGAGTTGGGACTAGAACCTATATTTCCTGGCTCTCAATTCAGTGCTCTATGAGACTAAATTAGTGCTAGGCCTAGCTTTGATTAATGGGAATTGCTAATGACAAGTAATTAAAGTTTAAAAACTGTTGTCCACACATCAAACTTAGGCAAAATTATGCAAGTGTGATTATCTCCATTTTATAGATGTAGACAGTAAAATTCAAGAGATACTAAGTGACTTGACCCTGGAGTAGGAAGTGGCAAAATCAGAATTCAAACACTGGCCTTTTGATTCCAAATTCAGGGTTAAATCTATTCAACCAGGCTGTTTCCTTGACAAACACTGATAGAAAATAAAAATTAGTCTTTATGTATAGCATATGGAAAGAACTGTTAGTCACTCATTGACCTTTCTGGTCATCCAATTTACATGATAAATGATAAAAAAAATACTCTTTTACACATTTATCTGAGAGTTAGAGTGAAATGGCATTTTCCAGTGCAGGCAAATGGACTATCCATCTCCTATCTCTGGACCCTTGCCTTGGCCACCTTCCTTTGGTGGAATGGACTCCTTCCTCACTTCCACCTAAGAGAATTCCTTATTTTCTCAAGAGGCAGCTCAAGCATAACTTCCTATCTTGAAGCTTTTCCTGACTTCCTACCACCCTAACTGAAGGCATCCTTTCTCTCTTCTAACTACTTTGTATTTATTCTGGATATACTTATGCTCTGTGTATGTGTGTGTATATACACACATTTATACACACACACACACACACACACACACACACATATAGGGATGTCTCCCCCCCAAAAAAATATAAACTCTTTGAGAACAGTGATTCATTTTTGGTTTTGTATCTCTAGAACAAAGCTGGGTGGCACAGTGGATAGAGTACTGAACCTGGAGTCAGGCAGACCTGAATTCAAATCTGATACTCACTAACAATGTGACCCTGGACAAGTCATTTCACCCTGTTTGCCTCAGTTTCCTCATCTGTAAAATGAATTGGAGAAGGAAATGGCAAATCACTTTAGTATCTCTGCCAAGAAAACTCCATAGGGTCATGAAGAGCTGGACACAACTAAAATGATTAAACAACAATAAATTCCAAAACCTAAAGTATAGTAGGTACTTGATACTGTTCCTATTACCTGATCAATCCGTATATGACTCCATATCCATATTCCCTCAAAAACTCTTCACAGGAGTTGTATATGATGAATACGACCCAACCGCACTTTATAGATGAGAAAACCTAAGGCTTAGGGAGCTCATGATTTGAATTCTCTCCATTTCTATTTTTCTCAGCTGTGAAATATGGATAATGATATCACTTGTCCTATGTACCCCATTGCAATTTCAGGAAACACTGCACTCCTTAAAGCACTACATCAATATCAGTTATTATTTGTTTTACCTAGACAATCAAGAAAACATTTTCAAGTAGGAACTCCTTCCTTCATATTAGCTTGTTCTTTGTCCAACAAACACCTTTGAAGTAGCAAGTCATGTAGTAAGCTAAGTAGGAATTCTGCAGAAAAGTTGTACTTCTCTAAAGGTAAGCTAAGCACCCATTATTAAATTGTACAGGAGCCTCATTCTTCCTATCCATACCCTCTCATCTTAGGTATCTATTCAAATAGGAAATTAAGAGTGTTAAATCCATAGGTAACGATGCTCTGACATGGCTAGCTTATTGGCTTTGTAAGCAGTTCCATTGCATCTTATATTCTTTTTTTGCATCTTATATTTTAAGCAAAGGAGTGTTTTGTTCTTTACTTTGCCAAATTACTTTTACAATCCTGTTTTACTTTATTCTAGGCAGGAAATGATTCCAATAAGCCAACAAGCCAGCCATGTCAGAGCATCAGTACCTGTGGACTTGACACTCTTAATTACCTATTTGAATAGGTACCTAAGATGAGAGGGTATGGACAGAATATTACCAGACTGAATAAAAAGCACTTTGCAAACTTTAAAACACTATATAAATTATTTTCTTATTCTTATCAATAATTCCAAGTTTACATTAAATTATTCATGTTAGTTTTTGCTATATACTTTAAAATGTATTCTCTTACCAAGAAGTTCCAATTGGCATCAATTCTAGTCACCATGCCTGAAAGGAACACACATAGGAACACGAGGGAAAAGAAAAAAGCTATCACTGATACAAACATCACCCATCCTTGTAGTAGAGGTAGAGGTACATTGGAGGATGCTACCAAAATCCAGACAAGTCCTCCAAATAGCTGCAAAGAAATAAAAAGAAATATTTGTAGGTCAAAAGGCATTTGTAACACAAATCTACTCTTTGGTACTGTTAGCTGCCCTTTCATACATTTATGTGTCCAGGGGTACTGGAGCTAACTCCAACTGGCTCTTGAGAATAAACTTAAATTTTCAGTGTGTTTCATCATAAGTACAGTGAAAGATTGGTCACTGGGAGAAAGGGAATATACAGAGCCCATGTGCCAGGCAGTGAGAAGCACTTTACAAATAACATCTCATTTTATCCTCATCACAACTCTGGAAGGTAAGTGCTATTATTGTTCTCATTTTATAATTGAGGAAACTGAGGCAAAAAGAAGTCAAGTGACTTGCCCAGTCCGAGGCCATATTTGATTGCAGGTCTTCCTGACTCCAGGCCCAGCATTCTATCTACTATTCCACCTATCTGATGAGCATTTATACCTTGGAAATTGGCAATTGCTACAATTATTTTGTTGATAGTCTAATCTTAAGAAAATGTTGGTATGCAGATTAAACTGAAAAGTATGCCATGAGTTTTCAGAGATCTGGTTGTAAGACATTTAGCAGCGCAGTCATTCCCTCCTTGAGGAGCAAGGACTGTTCTTTAGACTTCTATAAATCCCTTTTCTGTACCTAGTATAGTGACTTACACATAGTACTGACTTCAAGAAGTTCTTTTTCGGGGAAATCATTATTTATATAGTCAATCTAGAGAATTATCCTGAAATAAGGGCTTAAATATATCAGGTACTTATGAAAGTATAACAAATAGATGCAAAATAAAACATATCCCCCAATATATCTATAGTAATCTATTTTAATTATCCATGCCGATAATAACATATTTGAACTCTAATACCTCAGTACACACACACACATCATATAAGGAAAAAGCACTGAAAATTAATTTGGGAAGAATGACTGACCTAGGCCAAATGAATACAATGCAAATGACAAAGTTTTAAAGACATTTGGGGAACAGTTTTTGAAAGACAAATTTTTTTATTGATAGCTCTTGTTTTCATATCTTTTAGATTCCTATCTCTCTCCCTTTCTGAGAGTTAGTTCTTACATTATAAGAATGGCGTTTACTGATAGCAATTTATAACTCTGTAATAATTACTATGTTCCTGGTTGTCTTTTTGCAATTATGACAGCACTGATCATCTGGAATGGTCTTTTCTTTTAGAGGTCTTGAAAACTGATTCCCAAGAATGGCTGAACAAATTACTCTGTGTGGGTGTATGTGTATGAGTGTGTATATACATATATATATGTATGTATATATATGTGTATATATATACATTATATATGTTACTGAATATAATATAATCTTACAATATTATAAGAAAAGACAACAAAATGAAAAGATGAACATAACGGAATTTTTTTTTGGAAGCAAAGGAAAAACAAAAAGAAGAAAAATTCCTTGAAAACATTATACATCTGTGAACCTTGATCTCTGCAAAGGATCAGAGAGAAGTGTCTTTATATAACTTTTTTGAGGTCAAACTTTTTCTTTGTAATTTTTGATTGTTTTGTGGTGGCTGTTCTATCCATTTATGTTGTTGTAGTCACTCTATATATAGGACATGCTCTTTGGCCACTATTCGAATTCCCACTCAAACTGGCAATCAGGTCCCCAGAGAACAGTTGCTACTTCTAGGAAGAGCCTTGAGGAGTTAGAATTTGCTTTCTATTACTATAGCTCCAAAGTACTCACTAGTGAACTTCCTCACAACTATTTTTGGCCGAGATCAATTAGTCAGCCAGACTTAGGTTTTAGAAAAAGAATACTTTGTTAAAATGGTACAATTAAGAACAATTAGAATGAAACACGTCCCCAAAAGTATGTGATATACTTTGTTCACAAATACATAGAAACCAGTGGAAAGTGGGCTCAAGCTTAGAATGTACATGTGACCAAAGAGGAATTTGCAGCTCTTGGTTTCTGGAAGTCCTTTTCTCCCTGTAATGGGATTTCCCCTGATGGATGATAGTGGGGGTAGGTTTTTGTTAGGCTCTTTCTAGAGTCTTTTTTTTTTGTTGTTGTTGTTTTTGTTTTGTTTTTGTTTTTTTCTTTTTTGACTAGGCAATGGGGTTAAGTGATTTGCCCAGGGTCACATAGCTAGTAAGTGTTATGTATCTGAGGCTGGATTTGAACTCAGGTCCTCCTGACTCCAGGGCTGGTGCTCTATCCACTGAGCCACCTAGCTGCCCCACAAAGTACATATTATTATTATGATTATCATTATCATTATTGTCATTATTATTATTAGGCAACTGGGGTTAAGTGACTAGCTTAGGGTCATAGAGCTAGTAAGTGTCAAGTGTTTGGTCTGAGGCTGGATTTGAACTCAGGTCCTCCTGACTTCAGGTCTGGTGCTCTATCCACTGAGTGACCTAGCTGCCCCCTCTTTCTAGTGTCTTAAAGCTGCCCTTTCCTCCCCGTGTCTGATTTATCTTTAGCTCCCTATACAGACACTACCACCAATCACTATTGTGTCAAGGATGCTATTCACATGCCTGTTAAAAAGCCCAAATATTCTAGTCCTCCAGAGTTCCCAACGTCCTCCTCTGAGTAAGAGAAATAGGGAGGGAAGCCAAAGAACTCTCCTCTCCCATCCCGTCTCCCCCAGTTAGTCTTTGGGTTTGACTGGAAGTCTTCCACCACGTGAAAACTATTTCAAACTTGCTTGTTGATTTTATATAAGCCCATATAAAGTGACTCACCCAAAGTGAAATATACTTATGTAACATCACCCCATTCCATGTAATGACTTTCAAGGACTTCAAAATTGATCAAGGACTTTTGTACCTAGTCTAAAGCTTTTGACTGGGTCAACCAAAGTGAAATATTAATTGGTTAATATCATTACTTTTAAGTGTGGGTGGGTTGATTGTTTTATTCACTGGACTAAGCCCTTCCTTAGATGTATGTAGTTTTCCTGGCTCTGTTTACTTTACTTTGTAATCAGTTCATATATGTCTTTCATAATTCTCTATATTCATTATGTTTGTCTTTTCTTACAACATTGTAAGATTAAATTATATTTATATACAGCAATTTGTTCAGCCATTCTCCGGGATCAGTTTTCAAGATCCCCTAAAAGAGAAGATGATTCAAGATGATAACTTCTGTCATTATTGCAAAAAGACAACCAGGAGTATAATAATTACTACAGCTTTCTTAAATTACAGAATCTAGAACTAGAAGAGCCCTCAAGGGCCTTCCCTACATTCTCTATTTGTTAGATGCTTCAAGAAAAGTCTATGCACAATGGTGGTTTTCCTGATAGAATGACGAGAAAGGGATGGTAGTCATAAATTCTACAGTTGAAAGGAATATTTGAAACCGTATAATCCCATTTCCTCATTTCATAGATAAGGAAACAGACCCAGAGAGTAGAGATGACTTACAAAATTCCATGCAGAAAGTTAGTCAACAACCACTTATTATGTGTCAGGCACTATGTTAAGCAGTGGGGATACAAAGACAAAAACACACCATCCCCACTTTCAAGGAGCACACCTTTTAATGGGGAATAAGGCTAGTAAGTAGCAAATGTATATTTCAAGCCAAGGACTTTAACTTCAAATGCATTGCTACATCCGCTACATGGTGATTTTATAAGTAATTCTGTACGCAGAAAACATCTTCACACTCATGCAATTGATTAAGCGGTATAGAACACACAACATCCTGCTGTAACCTGATGTTTACTGATTCCGATAAAACATATAACTGTCTTAAAAAACAGCCTTAAAATTTACAAAAAGGTGTTTCTCTTGCATATAATAAAATCATGCAAGATTCTTTGATAGATACAACCACAAAAATAACTTTTTCCCCCAACAATCCTCTAATTACAATTATTAAGTGAGGCAGAAAAGAGAAATACAGGCTCATTAAAGTGATTCTAACACCATGGTAGACGTCTTATACATAAATTCAAATGTAAGGGGATCTTAAAAAATGTTAAGGTTCTCAAGATTGTTGAGGATGACATTGTATTGATGGCACTGAGTCTCAGAACACTAGATCCTCTTTAATGAGCCACTCAAAAGAGCCTGATTTAACAACACAGAAAAACCCAAGTGGGTAAAGAATAACATTTGCCTATTTTATAATATGCAGTTGGATGGGAAGTCAATTGAGTTAGTCTATTAGTACATTTATCTTGCTCAGGCATTGCAGACAGACAATGAACTGAGTCTAAAATTGAACTGGGAGAAAAGAGATTGCAGATGGAATTTCAGTCATTGGGCAATGCTTTTAGTGAGTGTAAGATATACTCTGTTTCAAATGATAACTTTTAAAATACCGATATTCTCCTGGGGACATTATATGGTTGTGAACATATAGCAGAACATCACAATTTCAAAAGAATCAAAACTGAAGATAACTCAAAGGACAACAAAAGATTCATGGTGAGTATAAGTAAGTGAAGCATGTTGCTAATGACTTGCAGGTAAGAAGCGGTATAAAATACATCCTCTAGATGCATACTGTTATGATTTTTAACACCCTCTGCCTGGCCCCTTTCCACTATCTATTCATGAATTCAACAAGTATTTGTTAAGCTTATACTATGTCCTCTGCATGGTGTCAGGTCTCCAATGAGAGAACTGAAATAATCCCTTCCCTCAAGGAACTTACCTTCTATTTAAGAATCTGCTCTTACAGATGCACAAGGAAGGAAAAAGGGCATAGAGGACTAAAGGTTATTTAAAATGTTTCTTTTTATTTGTTCTAGGTTGAAATGGCCAAATAATCTGTCACCTAGTTGCCAACCTACTGGTGATGTCACTCCATTATTAGTTTGGTAGCTTGCAGGCAGCAGACTCAGTCTGTCACCAGAATAATACCTGAATCCTTTCCACCAGCACAGTTTTCAAGAACCCAGGGTCATCTGGACACCCTAGAGAGATATCAGAGGTAGGTTTTTGTGCAGTTATGAAAAATTTAAAGTGAAATTGCTTTGACTATCATAAAATC